TGCGATCGCGCCGGGCGAGCGCACCACGCCGATTTTCCCAACTCTGGGGACCTTAGTGTGTCAAGAAACGCACGACCCATCGCTATAGTTACGATTATTTGTGTCCTGAGGTTGGCTGCAGTGGTGCGCCCGCGGGTCCCGGCCGCCTGACTCCCTTTCATTCATTCGGAACCATGTCGCTGCCGCTGCGTTGGCAGAGCAGTGCGGGGTCGCCGGGGAAGGCCACAGGACGGGGCGGAAGTTGCCCCATCAAAAGGGTGGCTTGTTTGTTGAGTTAAGTAAAACAATCGGCTCAGCTGTGACCATTCATAATATCACAATACACTTATGGAAATAAATAATATCTCGACTCTGCTTTTCTGTGGAAAGACAACAATTTATTATTGTTAGTGTTCCTGTAGGACAGCCTCAAATGCGAAATGCTTGGTTTTCTCTCAGAGGATGCCAGAGGTCCCCCACAGGTTGTACCGCGCTGGCCGAGACCCACGTGGATATCCATTCGCGTGCGTCCTTATTCAAACCCAATTCGGAACGCTGCTGCTTCCACAACTTCCACAGGCGGCGGTATGCCCTTTGGCCGGGCCCCGAGCCCCACCCACCACCGGCCGGCACCTAACTGAACGGTTCATTCGAAAGTCCGTCCCATTCATTGGCTCTTTCTATTGTAAAGGCCGGACCAGTCCACCCGCCAAAGCGCGCTTGCTTGCTCTCCTCCGAAACGGCGAGAATAAGTAAAAGGGGAAGGGAAAAAAAAGTAATTGCTCATGTACCTTTGGCCCTGCTCTAAGGTGCCCGGGGCACTCGAGCGGGAGGGGCGCGGGGGTCTCTGCCAGGGCGGGGCGGCGGTGATTGTTTTGGAAGCCTTTGGCCCGTCCGTCCCGAGGGGAACTTCGTGGCCCGACGGGGCGTGGCGGGGCGTGGCGGGGCGTGGCGGGGCGTGGTGGCCCGCGATGTCCCGCCAAAGGCTATCACGACGCCGCCGCCCCTCGCGGTAGGCAGACAGGACCCCAAAACTGGACTCGTCTCGGAGCGGCGGCGGGCCGCGGCCGGCCAGTGAGAGGGAACCGAGAGGAGGAAACCCACCGCATTAGTGTCAAATTGAAAGCTGGTTGTTGCCTGATTTACGGTCTTCGACAGTTTCACAAATTTCTTTTGAGCGCCTTTTTACGCCAGGGTCATCCGCTGATGTACTAGAAAAAAGCAAAGAAAGAAAGGAACATCCGCGCACGAGGATACGCCAGTCGGGCCGGGGCCGGGGCCGGGGATTTTTCCAGGACTCGCCGATTTAAAACATTACTAATTTGAACCTTGGCCGGCTCCCGCCGCAACGCCATGCAATATTTTAACGAGATGTTTCACCGAGCGGATAATCAGCAGCTAACTTATAATAGATTCCGTACATTGATTGTGATCTGCGCGCCCCTCCGCGCCACTCCCCCGCGGGCGGCAGGGGGACGAGAGACGGCCGGGGCCTTTACTAACAAGCATTCCGTCCAAATACCCGCGCGGTGGTGGCTTCTAAGAAAGCGCTCTCGTTCTGCCGTTGCACTTTTCTTTTTGTTTCGTTTTTTTGTGCCCCTCGCGCGCGTTCGCGTTGTACGGGCGGCCCGGCCCGGCCCGTGAGTGAATCATTACATGTGACGTCGTGCAAGGACACTGCTTAAAATAATGTGCGTTGAAATAAAATGAATGCGTGGCAGCGGTAGCAAAATAAGGTATACATTACATTAGTCATACAAACGGGACATCATTTTTCAGCTATATCAATGGAGCCACCATCCACCGACGTACAACTCTATTGCTTCGCCTTCCGCCCCTCTCTCTCTCTGTTGCTCTCTCTCTTGCAGAGCGATTCAGTTGTGGAGAATGCGACGATAAATCGACCAGTGGCCCGGCCCGCTTCCACCGCTGCGGCCCCCGGCAGCTCCAGCCCCCCACATCCTGGCTGCCGACCTGACGTCGATAAACTCCGAATTGCCATATCGCAGACGGAAAAATTAAATACATCGCCCCTCGCCGCGGCCCTTTGCGAACAACGGACCCAATAGAACGACAGACATGGATGATTTAGTCGAATGTCAGTACGCTGCTGACCGCAGCAGTCGCAACCATGTGGCTGTGTTCCGATACAGTATCGATAGTATCGCCGTCATCTCTTCGGCGACACTGGGTCGGGCCGCCTCGCTGCGCAGAAGAATGACTTCTGCTTTTGCCTTTCACCCGGTGGCGCGGCGCGGGCCGCTCTGGTGCCGGGAGGACATTCAACAATCACTTTCTTTCTCACACGCACTTCCCTTACCGCCTCTCTACGGACTTCTGTCTCCCTCTCCCTCCCTTCCCCCTTCTCTCTCTCAACGAGCCCCTCAGCGCGGGTCTATGTAGTCCAGTCGTGCGTTCGGCCAGATCATGCTGCATCTTCGCCGCATCCTCCTTGTCTTACTTCACTCTTCTTTTTGTTCCCTCATATAAAGCTGGTGATCTCTCTCTCTCTCTCTCTCTCTCTCTCTCTCTCTCTCTCTCTCCCGCCTCTCCCTATCGACCCTGGCTGGAAGCAGCGCTAGAAATGTATTCATTGCACTGAGAAAAATGTTTGGTCACCACGGCCGAAAAAATTTGGTTGCTGTCACTAAAATGGTGTTCTATCTGCCCCCTTAGTCATATCCATAGAACGTTCTATCGTGCTGGCTGAGCGTTCAGACGCTCCAACCAAACAATCCAGCCAGCACGATAGAATGTTCTATGGCTATGACTCAGGGGGCAGATAGAACACCATTTTAGTTACAGCAACCAAAGTATTTTTCTCCGTGTGGTAGTAGTAGATGAATTACGAAAAGGAAAGGGGGGGGGGTGAATGGTTTTGTGGTGAACGCTATATGCTTTTGTGTAAAACTATGTCCCCCCACCCCACTGCCTGAGGCCGTCCGTTGCGAAAAGTGAACTGTCGTGTGGCTGCACGAAGCGATCGATAAACTGCATAATTGCAATCGGGCTTCAGTATGAGAGAGGCATGCGTGCTTCTGTGTGTGTGTGCAGCGGGTTGACCTACGCTGGAGCTTCCGTGACGGGTGAGTTTCTTGCTGTCGAAAGGGGGAAAGTGATCGTGAGGGAGGCTAGGCCACGAGATCGACTGACATGAGAGCGTGTGTGTGAGAGAGGGGAAGAAAAGTAGGAAAAGGGGGGAGGGGGTATACCGAGGAGCCACAACTCGTACGAACTTCGTACACTGATTGCATGACTCCACATACTAAATGCGTAAATATAACCAAAATTGAGGTACGTTTTTGAGCTCAGTTGCGCTGCGTTTAGAATATTTATCGTATTCAAATGGCTTATTCACGGTAAAAAGAATGTCTTGAAATCCCAGGAAATTTCTGGGATTTCAAGGTTGGGTGGATAATTTCAAGATTGGCCCTTGAAATCCCAAGCTCTGTCTTGAAACCCGTAGCTTTCAAGGGAAATCCTTGGAATTTTCGTCTGGTATTCAAGGGTTTTCCTTGAAGTGTCCAGATCGTGCTTCAAGGAAAACCCTTGAATACCAAACAAAAATTCCAAGGATTTTCCTTGGAAGCTACGGGATTCAAGGCAGAGTCTGGGATTTCAAGGGCCAATCTTGAAATTATCCACCCGACCTTGAAATCCTAGAAATTTCCTGGGATTTCAAGACATTCTTTTTACCGTGTTGCTAATTGGTGGGACTTTTTGTTACTTTGGTCAGATTTCACCCAATAGCACACATCATTTTAGGAATCGCTAGTTAGCATCAAGATGTTTACTTTCAAATGTTCATGAACTTTGGTAGAATGCGTTCGATTGAAGGTTGTGTTCAACAGAGAAGGGGTAGAAAGCATATAGGATCTCGCGGCGGCGATCTCGACGTCACGGTAGTGAGATTAACGCCCGAGATAACCCCGCGACGCTCACAAGGGCGCACCGCCGCGCCTCACTATACGCCCTTAATTGAGAGCCCTGCTCATGCTCGGCCCTGCTGCAGCTGATCGGTGGAGCGGCAAAAGGCGGCGAAGGTCACGGCGGCGGCGGCGTCCCCAGGCGTGGCGCGGGCGGCGCGTCCCCCAGCAGGAGAAAGGGGAAATGATTCAGGGGAAATGGCCGCCCCCATCGCGTCGCCCCCGAGCGCACCGCTCCACGAGCCCTGCTCCTCTTGACCGAACCACACGCGCTAAACTGAGACAGTCAAAGTGCCGTCTTTTCCCAAACTAGACCAGAGTAATGCACCACCGACATTTTAAAGCAGTAACTCTGATCGCAGCAGTGTAAATAAGTAGTATACCTTAAAAAATCGTCCTCACATCTTGGCAACTTCACAACTTTTTATAGCACTGCATACGTTTATCTCAGTATTACTAAGTTGTTCGTCCCTCTCTCTCTCTCTCTTTCTCTCTCTCTCTCTCTCTCTCGGATAATATGCAAATTGATAATTTGCCGTGGGCTATTGACGTTACACGGCGGTAGACCGCGCGCGGCGGCGTGCGCGAGCCACCTTGCGACACTGTGTCAGGTTGCCCGTTTGCCCCCGCCCCGCCCCGCCCCGCCCCGGCAGCCTCGGACCGCGGCACATGAAACCCAATTCAAGCACGACCAGACGTGACAGTGCGGTGGCTGAGTGCGGCCGCCCAGGGGCCCTCTAGCGGCCCCTATGAGTTCTCTGGAACCACCACCCAAGGAGCCGCCGCCACAGCAGCAACTGCGGCCAGCGGCGGCCCGCGTAAACAAAAAACACGAGGAAAAAAGCGGACCGCGAAAGGGGGAAAAAATTCTAGCATGCAAAGTTGTTGATGTAAGGCCTCTAGCAAGCTGCCAGAAAGCAAGGTGGCGCGATGCGGTTTGTGGCGTAAGGAAGATTCCGAATGGCAGAGCGTAACAGCTGTTACGCGGCAGCCGGGGTAAAACATACGCGATCGGTAAGAGACATGGATGAAAGCAGTTTTGCACATAGAGAGCTGAAAAATGTTTTTCGAGAGATTATTATTTGCAGGACTCACCTTGCGCTCTGGCGACAGCAGCGTGGCGGGCCGGGTCGGCGTCGGGCGCCGCTCCGGGCGAGGGGGAGGGGGCGGGCGAGGGGAGGGCCAGCAGGGGCCGGCCGAGGGCGAGCAGCAAGCACAGCAAGCAGAGCACCAGCGGCCCCGCGGGAGAGCCCACGGCCCAGCCCGGGGGCCCCGCGCCCCGCCGCAGCCGCATGGCCAGTCACACCATCCCTGCAACAAAAGAAGCGGACAGCGTCAAACACGCGGCAAACCAACGAGCTTTCATGAGATGGCCTTCATCACTAATATTACAAAAATGTCTGTTTTTAAGCAGCAGCTTCAAGTGTTAATTTGTGGTACATGTGTGCGGTATCTTTGGCTACAGAGTAGACCGCAGAGTGCCCTTTGACTTGCACCAATTCCTTCTCCTCCAGACATTCTAGCAGGCCGCACGCTGCGCGACTCTTGCCCTAAATATACATAATAGGGGCCATCCACTGCTGCGAAGCGGCCCGATAATGAATCTGGATCTGTGGATCCGAGTCTTGGATCTGACCCGCCAGTGAAATGACGCGGCGGGACGAGCGCGCCCAGATTGGTATTGCAGCGGCAGAGCGAGCGAAAGGAAGAGGCGGAGGAGGACCCCCCAATGGGGCTGCCGGGACCCCCTGCGGGGCCCGACCTCCCCGATAGGGCCGGATGGCCCTAAAAACGAATTGAAGCCATGATGTCAGCAGCACGCCGAGCAGAGGAAGCGCAGCGCCGCTTGACTAGGTCAGGGCGGCCGCCGCGGTTCACCCGCCGGCCCGCCGTGAACGCGCACACCACGCCGAAGAGGGTACAAAAATCATGGGGAGTTATAGTGAGCAGCAGCTCGGGGGATCACGAACCCACGGCATATCGGCCGCGCGCAGCAGCGCCACGACCACGGGCCAGATGTAATGGCGAGCGAGGGGGAATAAGCTTTCTCCCGCCGGCGCACTCAGCTGATATGCTGATAATGCGGATAATGCAAATCTCGACGTGCGGCAGCGGCGGCGCGGGAGATTACAAACACACGAAAAGCGCGTACCGCACACACACACACCCTCTCTCTCTCTCTCTCTCTCTCTCTCTCTCTCTCTCTCTCTCTCTCTCTC